GATATAAGAGATTAAACAAGTGAGCAGAAGCAGAGATGGGGTAAGATAGATGTCAATACACATAGAGATCTCCAAGGAACTAGGAAACAGAAGCTGAACAGACAAGGACCTTCTTCCAGAGTTGACGAAGAGAGAAAGCCTTCCCTAGAGCTGACGCTCTGAATTCGGACTTTTAGCCTCCTCAACTGTGAGTGAATTAATTTCTGTTTATTAAAGCCATCTACTTGTGGTATTTCTGTTAGAGCGGCACTACATAACTAAGACAGATCTAACAATAAATACACGAACCGACATACGTACATCTGTGTTTGTTACAGCACAATTTACAATAGCAAAAAGACGGAAACAACCTAAGTGCCCATCAATGGATGAATGGATAAACAAAATGTGGCACACACATCCAAAAAGAATAATGATGAGTACTTGAAACATCTAATAATGTGGATAAATCTGGAGGACATTATGCTGAGTGAAGTAAAAACAAACAAACAAAAAAAAAACAACCCACTGCCGTTCAGTTGATTCCAACTCATAACAACCCTACAGGACAGAGTAGAACTGCCCCATATGGTTTCTAAGAAGTGGCTGGTGGATCCGAACTGCTGACTTTTGGTTAGCAGCCAAACTCTTAACCACTGCACCACCAGGGCTATAAATAAGTCAATCACAAAAGGACATTTTATGATCTCACTATTATAAAAAGACAAGAATGGGTATATATACAGAAACCAAAATTCATTGGAGGTTACCAGGGATCGGTGAGGGGAGAGGGGGAACCACTCACTAGATAGTTGACACTTTGTTATTTTTGTTGATGGGAAACACAACACCGTTACAACTACTGGTCTCTACTCATCTGGAAGAAAAGAGATACAAAGAAATGCAAGACTCAAAGAAACTAGTCTACAGGACTGTCTACATGAACCATGACCTCATCTACCCTGAGACCAGAAGAATTAGATGGTGCCCGCTTACCACTACCAATCATTCTGATCAGGGCCACAATAGATGGATCCTGATGGAATGGGAGAAAAATATGGAAAAGAACTTCAAATTCTTAAAAAATTAGGAGGAGGATATGGAATGTGTGGGTAATTGCTTCCATGAACAACCGTCTCTTTTGCCATGAGACCAGAAGAGATGGATGGTGCCTAGCTACCATTTCTGAACATTTTGATCAAAGAGTCCATAGAAGAATCCTGATCAAAAGGGGGAAATTCAGAACAGAATATCAAATTATCATGGACTCCAGATTTCCTGGAGCCATGAAGGTTGGATGAACCCCTAACACTACTGCCCTGAGATAATCTTCAAACCTTCAACCAAAAATATCCCCTGAAGTCTTCTTAAAACCAAACAATAGAATTGCCATACACACATCTAAACTCCCTGAGGGACTGAATTGCTGGGCGGAGGGCTGTGGGGACCATGGTCTTGGGGAACATTTGGCTCAACTGGCGTAACACAGTTTATAAAGACAATGTTCTACATTCTACCTTGGTGAGTAGCATCTGGGGTCTTAAAAGCCTGTAAGCAGCCATCTAAGACACGCCACTGGTCTCACCCCTTCGGGAGCAAGGGAGAATGAAGAGAACAAGATACAAGGAAAAGATTAGCCTGAAGGACTAATGGACCACAGCTCCCACAGCCTCCACCAGACTGAGTCCAGTATAGCTAGATGGTGCCCAGCTACCACCACTGACTGCTCTGACTGGGATCACAATAGAGGGTCCTGGACAGAGCTGGAAAAGGATGTAGAACAAAATTCTAACTTACACAAAAAAGACCAGATTTACTGGCCTGACAGACTGGAGAAACCCCGAGAGTATGGCCCCCGGACACCCTTTCAGCTCAGTGGTGAAGTCACTCCCGAAGTTCACCGTTCAGCCAGGGATTGGACAGCCTCATAAAACAAAACAGGACTAATGAGGCACAGCAGTCCAGAGACAAGGACTAGAAGGCAGGAGGGGACAGGAAAGCTGGTGATAGGGAACCTAAGTTTGAGAAGGGACAGTATTGACATGTCATGGAGTTGTTAACCATTGTCATAGAACAATATGTGTACTAACTGTTTAATGAGAAACTATTCTGCAAACCTTCATCTAAGATACAAAAAAAAAAAGAATTATCTATGTGAGATCAAATTGACAACAGCAACTCAAAAGGTTTGATGGGAAGCTTAGGGGGCAGTGAACTGAAGGTAATGGTGATGGAATAATTTGGAAAAGGATAGTGAGAATAGCAGCACAACTGGAAGAATGTAATCGATGTCACTAAATTGCACATGCAGAAACTTTTGAAATGGTGTAACTTTGGCTATGTATATTTTCACCAAAAAAAGGTCCTCCAAGGTCGAGAAGGGAGAGTGTTGGCATGTCGTGGAGTTGTTAACCAATGTCATGAAACAATATGAGTACCGACTGTTTAACAGGAAACTATTTGTTCTTTAAACCTTCAGCTAAAGTACAATAAAAGAAAATTTTTTAAAAAACAAAAAACAAACAATAGTTTAGCTTAACTAGTAAAAAATGTCTGCCTTGAGCATTTTGCTCTTTTAAGAACTATCTGTATGGGATTAAAGTGACAATAGCAACTGTAAAGATTAAAGAGGAACCTTAGGGGGCAGTGAATGTATGTTAATGGGGGAGGAAAAATTCAGAAAAGGAGGGTGGGAATGGTTACACAACTCGAAGAACGTAATCAATGTTACTGAATTGTACATGTAGAAACTGCTGAATTGGTGCATGTTTTGCTGTATATATTCTCAACAACAACAAAATAAATAAAATTATTTGAAAAATTTTCTTAAAAAATCCAGAATTACTGGACCGGTTGAGACTCAAGGACTGAGACTATTGCCCTGAGATACTCTTTAAACCTTGAACTGAAACTATCCCCTGAGGTCATCTTTGAAGCTAAATAACAGATCAGCCCACAAAATAAAAAAATATCACCAGTGAGCACTGCGCTTCCTTAAAAATCTTCTATGAGAACAAATGGTCAACAATTACTTAAAGAAAAAGATGAGAAGGTAAGGGGGCAAGGACACTAGATTACTGGAAACAAAACAATCAGAATGAAAACAATGAGAATGTTCATGCATTCTGAAGAACGTAACCAATGTCACTGAACAACTTGTGTAGAAACTGTTAAATGGAAACCTAATCTGCTGTGTAAACTTTCACCCAAAACACGAAATATTATTTTTAAAAAAGAAGAAAGTCACATGGCCCCGATTTACTTGCTACTTATTATCAGAGGAAAATGAACAAAAAAGGCCCTGTCCGCCTCCCCTTTAAAATCAACTGCCAAGTATTAGAACACTCATGATGATAGATTACTTCAGGACCTATAGCTCTTTCTTTCTCTTTATTACTCAATTTGAAACAAAGCACAGCTCAGAGAAGACAAATGTTCATCTTGACCCTCCTTTTTTTATAGTTCAGGAAAAGTCTGTGGGTGAGTAAACTGGCACTCACTGGCTAAAAAGAAGTTTGAGATCATCCAAAGACTTAATTGTGTGTTTCCTGTACCATCTGCACTAAGTCAAAGAAAGATTAGGATGAAATAGGGCATATTTGAGTTTCTGCATATTTTAAGAGGCCATCCCAGTCTTCTGTCTTTATTGGGGGCAGGGGGCTTCTATGCTCCTTCATCCTTTTGTGTAGATGGAAGCCTTCATGGTGGTGGGGCAGTTTACATTCTCTTTTCCCTTGTATTAATACTGGCAGGAGAGCTGAGACAGTGACATTAGAATAGAAGGCAAGTAATAAGGGAAAAAGAAGCCTTATTTCTATCAGCAAGTGCCCGGACTAAGCAACCACATCCTTATCATTTTTCTCTGGCACTTGTTTACAAGACTTATAAAGGCACCATGCAGATGAAAGCATCTGTACTTTGAATTTTTTGTTTACTTTAATTGGAAAATACTACAGCTGGCCTTTATTTACAAGATACACACACACTTCAGTGCCTAAGGTAGGAGATAAAGAGTTCATGATAATTAAGGTTCTACTTAGAAAGGGAGGGTCCTCCTAAGGGTAATCCTTCTGCTGCCTTTATTTTTTCTAAGCAAGGATGAGAGGGTAACCTCGTGGGTCACATTTTCCCTGAAGTGATCCAACAGAATGGTACCACAATTCCTTCAAGTATGACAGGGATATTAAAAAAAAAAAAAAAAAAAGGTTGGCTCTTGATGCCCACCCCGGCTCAAGAGGTATGGGGCCACTTCCACTTTCTATGTTTTTGCTGTCAGCAGAAGCTGACGTCTCTGAGGCTGAAATGACCCTTTCTCCAGATATCATAAGCCAGCGGGACTAGGAAAGTTACTCTGCAGGCAGTGGTACACATTACTGCCCTAGACCCCAACTACCACCACCCCGCCCCCACCTCCCTACTGCGGATTCGATACACCTTATTGAGCGACCACAGGAGCACTATGAGCATTCTGCACGCCGGCAGCCTACGAGTGTGTTTCAACAGCAGCCCTGGGTTATCCATGCCCATAGGATAGAAAGAGGAGGTTAGAAGTGCCTGTAGGAGCTGAGGACAGCTCCCGCTGGCACTCAGGCGCACCCGCCTCCAGGCAATGAGGATGCCACCGTCTACTGCAAATGGCTGTGCCCCACCTCCATGCCCACTCTCCCGCCATGCAGCTGCCCCAAAGGCTGCAAATGGCAGCACCGACCGGCGTCTCTAAGCGGTCTCCTGACCGAATCCAAAGGAAAATCAGCTTCTCGGTTACCTCCGGACAGCTTTGACATCCGTGGAGGCCACTTCCCTCTTTCTCTGGCACAACTGCAATCTCCTCACCCCTCCCCCGCTGCTCTGGGGAACACAGCTCTCAGCCCCTGCGCCACTCAGGGAGGCTCTGTCTGTAAAGAGCGCGATGGCTTACGTCTGGTGAGTGAAGCTTGAGGATTCCAGGGTGCAAAGCCCTTCGAAAATCTCCGCCTGCCCTCCACCTCCACCTCCACCCCTCTCTCCCTCTGAAACCCTACCCAGACGCGCAGCTCCGGCGTTACCGGTGAGTGGATGGGCGCCCAACCGGAAAAGGCAGGCTGTGTTGCTGGTGGCGTCTTGACAACCACCTCCAGCTGACTCCCCACTTCCTTTCCTTGTGCAGTCTCAGCCCAGCCACTCAGCAACTGTCCCGCCGGTCCTGTACCGCCAGGAAGACCCGGTCTCTAGCAACGGATGAGCCCTGAAAGCGAACACGACTTAATAGCGCCTAGTCCTCACTCCGCCGGAAGCCTAGAGGAGTCCCGGAAATGCCTTGTCACGTGGGAGTGAGGTAGCCTACTTGCTCTGGGTGCCACGGTCTTGTGTTTCCGCTTTGCCGAATGTGGAGTCCAGAATGTTCCCGGGTAGCTTGGTGGATTTTGGCTCACAGGGGCGGGTCGGTCTCCCCACTGCCTGTGCGCGGTGTGTTCTTGGCCTTGCTGAGGCCCAGCCCGGGAAGGTGGGGGGAGGGGGAGTTCGAGTGTCATCCATGGGCTTGTGGGGATCCCCTTGCGTAACAGGCAGTTTTGTCTCCATCAGGAACCTCGCTACATCAGGAACAACGGTCCCTGAAAGTTTTGAACCGTTTTCTGGGCCGCTGGTGCTTCTTTCACAGCTGTTAGCGTGTTTTATTCTTCTCAGGTTTTAACATTGTGAGATAGGTTCCATTTATATATCTTTTTTTTAATACGCTTTATTTTTTTTATCGCAGTTTTAGGTTTAGAGGAAAATTGTGCAGAAAATTGAGGGAGTCCCACATACCTCCTCTTCCCCATGCACACGGTTTCTCCTATTATTAACTTTTTGCATGACTTTGGTACATTTGTTAAAATTGATAAACCAATATTGATACACTATTATCAACTGAAGTCCATAGTTGACATAGTTCACTCTTCGTTGTACAGTTCCCGTGAATTTTGAAAAATGCGTAGTATCATGTAACCACCATTACAATATCATGCAGAATAGTTTTACTGCCTTTAAAATGCCCTGTGCTTTACCTATTCAACACGCCCCACCCCCCAATCCCCTGGCAACCACTGAACTTTTTACTGTCTCTATACTTTTGTTTTTTCCAGAATATCATGTAGTTGGAATCATACAGTGTGTACCTTTTGCAGACTGGCTTCTGTCACTTAGCAATATGCATTTAAGGTTCCTCTGTCTTTTTGCAGCTTGATAGCTCATTTCTTTTTATCCCTGAATAATATTCTATTGTATGGATGTACCACAGTTTATCATCTTTGTTGCTTCCAATTTTTGACAATTATGAATAAAGCTGCTATAAACATTCCTGTGCAAGTTTTTGTGTGGACATAAGTTTTCATTCATTTGGGTAAATACCTAGGAGTTTGATTGCTAGATCGTATGTAAGCCTATGCATAGCTTTGTAAGAAACTGCCAGACTGTGTTCCAAAGTGGCTGTTCCATTTTGCATCCCCGCCAGTAATGAATGAGTCTGTTGCTCCATGTGCTTGCCAACATTTAATGTTGTCAGTGTTTTGAATTTTAGCCATCCTAATAGGTGTGTAGTGGTATCCCATTCTTGTTTTAATTTGCAATTCCCTAAGCTCTCTGGTGGCGTTGTGGTTAAGAGCTCAGCTGCTAACCAAAAGGTCGGCAGTTCGAATCCACCAGCCACTCCTTGGAAACCCTATGGGGCAGTTCTACTCTGTCCTGTAGGGTCACTATGAGTCGGAATCGACTCAATGGCAGTGGGTTTTTGTTGTTGTTATTAAGGAGCCCTGGTGGTGCAGTGGTTAAGTGCTCTGCTGCTAACCAAAAAGTCGGCAGTTTGAACCCACCAGCCACTCTGCAGGAGGAAGATATGGCAGTCTACTTCCCTAAAGATTACAGCCTTCGAAACCCTATTGGGTAGTTGTACTCAGTTTTAATGACATGATGTTGAGCATCTTTTCATATGCTTATTTTCTGTATATCTTCTTTGGTGAGGTATCTGTTCAGATCTTTTGCCCATTTTGTGATTGAGTTGTTTGTTATTATTTAGTTTTAAGAATTCTTTGTATATCTTGCATACAAGTTCTTTATCAGATATGTGTTTTGCAGATATTTTCTCCCAGTCTGTAATAACTGTTTAAATCTGACTTTTTCTATCTTGGTGGGAGCTTTCATGGCACTTCCCTGACATATGGCCTCCATGTAGATCTCTTGAGAGAACTCCCTTTAGGAGACTCCTAGCCAATTCATTCTCTCTCTCTCTCTCTCTCTCTTCCACTCCAATTTTAAATTTCTTATTTATAATTCTGACTTCTGCCTACACTCTCCTCCAAACCTCAAGGGAAACAAATGGAGACCTCCAGGTGACCTCCATGAAGCTGCATTCCCCTAGTAAATTTGAGGTATAGGGCATTTTCCTCTTTTAAACGCAGCAGACCTTCCAGTTTTTCTAAAGAGGGCCCCTCTCAACTCCAAATCCCCCAAACTCTGCAATGTTAGTAAACACCCTCTTGAGGGTGAGTAGCCAGAGTTCACATGATTGTGGCCTTTGGGTAGCACAAAGATGGAGCAAAAGTAAAGAGACTATGTAAGCAAGAAAACATATCAAACCAAAAGAAATGAGATCACAGTTTCAATTTTAATGGTCTCATTAAGGGAAGGATTTGTTGATCCAAAATGTTTTCCAGGATTTTTCATACTCCTCAGGTGGTTGAGTCACATGGTATTTTGGCAATGGCCAACTCCATCCTGGCGTTGCCAGTGTCAGCATCCACAGCCACTTAGCCAGGTTCACATCACTCCTGTGTCTCCCCAGTTGTCTACCAAGTAAAAAGCTCACCATGTTTTTGGGAGCCAGGTTGGGTTTTAAGTATTCATCTGCCTTCCTCCCGATGCTTGGTATGGACATGCTGGGACTCACTTCAGAGTGTCCTTTGTCCATGATTGCTTGATTTCACAGATGACTTCAGGAAAACAATACAACAGACAAAGCCTGAAAAAGATGATGAAACCCAGAATTACCTGTAGGGGAAACACCAAGTATGCCCAGAAGTCCCTTCTGCACTTTCACTTCCCTACCTCTCTCTCTCTCTCACACACACACACACACACACACAGTCATAAGAGTTTGCTTTGAGGCATTGTCTAATTTGAAATGCCAGCTTTATCATTTCTTTGATTCCCACATGTACATGAGTCTATTTCTAGAATCTCTATTCTGTTCCATTAATTTACATTTCAATTTCTAATCCTATAGAGTAGGTTTTGATATCTAATATGACAACCCCCCCCCCTTAGATCTCTTGGATAATCCCTCATATTTTCTCAGGATAATTTTATAATCTAGTCATCCAATTCCACACAAACACACGCACACACAATCTTGTGATTTATAATTGGGATTGCACTGAATTCATATATTAATTTGGGGAAGAACTGATATCATTTCAAAAATTAGTCTTCCTTTCCAGGAAGATTAAACACCCCATTTATGATGTGAATTGTGCATTATAAAGGCAGTAATTTCAGAGCATGGCCAAGGCTGGATCCAGAGATCAAGGAAGAGTAGAGAATCCTACCTGGAACTAAATTCCTGATTAGATATTGAGGCCAAAATCACTGAACCCCAACCCCAGTGGACCTGCTGATACGCAATGGGTGCTGTTAACTCCACACACAGGAGAAGTTTTAGCAGAGAGAGATTTTCATGGGGCAGGGAAGAGCTCTGAGGTCAAGACAGCTAAATAGCCTATCCAGGGAATAGATATACAGATGGTCCTCATCCATGGGTAATATCTGCCACCTCTTCTAATGCCTCCCACTCACCGTATTCAGTCCTGAATCAGAAGTAACCCAGGTGGTAGTGGCCGGTGTTCGGAGCTTCACATCCAGTGTGGTCTGAAGGTTCTGAAGGCCATTGTGAGTCACCATGACTCCTCTTGGTGCTTAACCAATCATGCGCTGGGACTTAGGGAACAAGAGTGGGGGAAGGAGAGAGAGCGTTTTTCCACTCCTTTCTTGTTCTCTCTTTCAAGAGTCAGCAAAATTGGCTGAATTTCTTTCTTCTTCCTTGCCCAGACCAATTGCTACCCCTGCAGGAACTGTGACTGCTCAGAGTAACCCCAGTGGTCTGGGAGGCAAAACATCCAGATACATAAACATAATAGAACATCTGTCTGCCATCACAAATGAGTCAAACTGATAAACCTCAACCCACAGGGTAATAGTGGGGTGAGGGACTGCCATTTCCCCATAGTAAAATGAGGCTGCATACAGAAGTGATTAGGCACACAGGTTCATGAGACAGGCTGTCTATTTTCCAATCCCGGCTCTGTGTGACATTGGGCATATCCCTTAACTCTCCAGTGAGCCAAGAATTGAGGACATGATACACACTCATCTCCAGCCTTGGCACTGTGTTAGATTCAGAAAGCAGTGCACAAGGCTTGGGGTGGTGTGGCCCACTCACAGGGGTGAGTGCAGTCTTCAAACCACTGAGATGAAGTTTCCTGTGAGCTCTGCAGGATGGACACTGGAAATAGAAACAGGTTTCACTTAAGAAATTAACATTATATTTCTTGCACAGGGGTTTGTTGAGTAAGATTCATATATGCTTCACCAACAATTTTCAAAAGAACTAAATTCTATTTGAAGCTAAAGTTATATAAAGAGATTTTGACCATGGTATTTTCAATCACCTCATATGCCTGTGAAAGCTGGATGATAAATAAGGAAGACCGAATAAGAATTGATAAAAGGAAAGGGAAGCAAGCAGAGAATGGGGGACCTCATACCATCAAGAAAGCAGTGCTGGGAGCAGAGCGCATCCTTTGGACATGGGGTCCCTGCGCGGAGAAGCTCCTAGTCCGGGGGAACACTGAAGAGAAGAAGGCTGACAGAGAGAAAAAGCCTTCCCCTGGAGCTGATGCCCTGAATTTGGACTTTTAGCCTACTTTAACTGTGAGGAAATAAATTTCTCTTTGTTAAAGCCATCCACTCGTGGTATTTCTGTTAGAGCAGCACTAGATGACTAAGACACCCAGGGAGAGGGAAAACTCAGAGGTGAGAAGGCAATTTTATGAAAGAACAATATAAATTCAGGTTAAAATTAGGTTGGTTATGAAGAACTGAAGAAAAAATTGAAGCCTCGAGTTGCAATATTGAAGGATTCTATGGGCAAAAAATTGAATGACACAGGAAACATCAAAACAAGATGGAAGGAAAACACAGTCACTCTACCAAAAAGAATTGGTCAACATTCAGTCATTTCAGGAGGTAGCATATGATCAAGAACTAATGGTACTGAAGGAAGAAGTTCAAGCTGCACTGAAGGCATTGGTGAAAAACAAGGCTCCAGGAATTGATGGACTACCAATTGAG